CTAAGCAGCGTGCCCACAGCTGCAAAGGCTTTATTGTTTTAAAACGTGTTCTGATCTTTACAGGCATGTGCAAGGCATGCAGAAAATTGCGAAAGTTCTTTTTGAGTGGGAGGAATAGTTGTGGCATTAGTTGATTATTACTTTTTTAAAATTTGGGTATCTCTTTTCTAACTCCAGCAAATGTTTGGATCTCATAGTGTCTGTGTGGAAACCAGAAAATCTACTTTTCTCTTGTAGAACGAGTTGCTCAGATGCCTTCTAAAACCATTTGTGTCTTGGAAGTCATATACTTTTTTTCTTTTCTCATTAGACTTGAATTCAGTCTTGAGAGTTCATAAAATTTCATCTGCATTTTAGGTGTAGCTTGTTTTCTTAAGGAAACAGGTTTTGCATAAATGCACTGTCCATATTTTTGCCAGTGTCATCCTCTCACCCTGATAACTTTTGAGCAATGTAGCCAGTTTCAAGCAAAGCTGCTAGAAGCAGACATCTCAAAGGCATATCTCAAAGTTCTTACTGGTTATGCAAAAATCAGTGTCTGGGTAGAGGGCAGATCCAAAGTTTTACCCAATTAAGGAAAAGGCAGGAGCGGGTACTAAGCTGCTCCTGAGCATGGTCTGCCAGCAGTGTGCGCATCTTGGCCAGCTCCTCGGGACACGCACAGCTCCAGCGAGTTATAATTATCCTCTGAGTTGTTTCCTGGCCTGTAGTTGGGAGAGGAGGGAGGGTGCTCTCGGGGAGAAGGAAGGAGGAAGGTGGGATACAGTAGGAAGCTTGGAGGAGCTGGAAGCACCCTGGGGAGTGAGGTTTGGAAGAAGGGACAGACACTTGCAAGGCAGCATGCCTCCTACTTTCTTCTTCTCATTGGTTAACCTGTTTTTTAACAGTGTAATCTGAGTAGGGGGAGTCATGCTCTGTTATTTCCCATTAATAACATCAATAAATTGCCTGAAATTCTGTACCTGAGCAAACTAATTCTGTAAGCTTTAGTTGATTATTGCCTTAAGAGATAGAAGAAACATTATTTTTGCCTATTTTTTTGTGTTCAAACATCGTACTTTTGTGAAAGATAATTTCAATAAGTAAAAGTCAACTCATTATTCTACATAAGCAATTCCCCAGCTCAAACTAATTATTGTTATTGTTACTATTAGAGCAAGAGTAAAATACTGAAAGAAGTTTCGAATTTATGCAATATTCAAAGATAGAAAATGGATCCTTATGTGGATCCTTGGCATGTGTTAGCATCTAAAGTTATGGAGTGTTACTTCTACATTCACCTAATTTTTCTTATTTTAAATTTAAAATTCTAAGCACATATCTAGCTTTTTAATGTACTCTAGTCTGTGGGTTGTCTTGTGGTATTGATCTTCGACAAACTAGCTATTGTTCTTAATGGTAAAATCTATTGATTTAAAAAAAACAATGGTGTGACATGGCTTGTTAAGGGATGTGTTTTTGAAATTAAGCTGGTCGGGTAGCAGCTCTCCAGACCATTGCCCATGTAGAAGCGGAGCCTCTCTTTGCTGAGCCCTGGTGTTGGGCACTGAAGTCCTTTGAGCTCCCAGCTCCTCGATGCACCCTTTCCCTCTCTCACTGCTTTACCAGAATAAAACTTGTGAGACAGCCTGACACGAGGCACAACATGTTCTAGTAATTAGCAGTAGAAAAGTAGTTTTTCTGTTAAAACTTTCCATTGCCTGCCTGAAATGGGGTGCTGGGCGGTAGGCTGGACAGCTGTAGAGGACAAAGGCAAAGAAATAAAAGGTCAGAGTTAGGTACCATTCCTCCAGGATAAGGGGAGTTAATAGACTTCTGGGAATGTAATCTGATGTCTGTTCATTGTTCCTATCCATTGCAGATAAGGAGACAGCTCATTGAAAGTGATTTTTTTGCATGAACTCCCATGGGAAGTGCACAACTGCTTATGATGAGCTTGTTGATAACCTTCACTTCATGGGTGACAGGAGTTTCTAGGGACCCAGTTTCAAACCAGCCTGTCTGTGGCCTCAGTTTCAGGAGTCTGACTCCTATCTGGGAGCAGGTTAAAAGCTGTAAGAAGCAATTACATTTCCCTGCCGCCTGCCTTATCCTGCTGAGTTTGTGCCGTCCTGTGCCAGAGGGACTGAGTGTCTGTGGAACAGCTCCTAAACTGCTGTGGTTTTAAAATAAAGCAAGCCTCTCTCCAGAAGCTTGATATTGATGTACCTGAAAGTTAAAGTACCTCATTTTGTCTCTGCATTTGTGATGTGGCCTTCTAGCATAATAGTTTTTTACAAAGTGAACTCATTGATGGTGTCCCAGCCAATACATTGAATATGCCTGCGTGTTGTGTACAGATGCCTGTTACGCTTTTTGGTTGATATATGCTGTCAAGTGGGTTTGACTTCACAGTTGCCTTTTTAATAAACAAAAAATTTCAGAGTCAGTATTTCATTAGATTGAAATGATACTTCAGGCTTGAATTTTTGTTTGTGCAGTGATTAGTAGTTGGGAAATGGAGCACTTGGGAAAAAAGGAATGAAAAATTCCTCTAGATGTTTTCCTGCTATAATTGTAGGTTCAAAAAGTAAAAAAGCCGGTCTCAGAATTTATTTAATTTTGGTAGTGAGGGTGGATTAATTTAGTCACTATTTTCAGTTCTCATTCCACTGCAGTTTATTTTGAGTCATTTAATTTCAACAAGGCTTGATCTGTTTAGAGGGCTTTCTATAGCAGTGTGGTGGGACCACACAACTCTTTTATAGTAGGTACGTTCATTGCTAACCAGGAGCTCAAAAGCTGGTAAACGATGCACAGACATGAATAACTTCTGAGAGGACAGTACATTTCTGTATGGTTGGATTATTTTGAAAGTTTTCAGAAATAACCAGTCTTTTGTGCACTGTGGGCTGATTTGCAGAGTTTGAAGTGATGGTATACAGTAGCTGAGTGCTTTCAGAGGTAAGACTGGAGGTCTGGCTGAAGGCACTCTTCAGGTTTAAGGTACTTCAGAAGCCACTGTGCATGCGAGTTGCTCTTAGTCCTTCTTTAAGGAAAATTTTTGATTCCATAGGTGAATATTTCCATCAGATTCAGTAGTTTGGTATGATTCTGTTTTTTTAATTTTTTAAATTTGCTGTTGATATACAAAATAGGCTAAGGTAAAATAGCTATCAGTTAAAAATGTCTAAATCAGTTGGCCTCATCAGCCAACAAAAAAACATGTGCTCATTGTCTGTGCTGAATCTGCTCCAGTTTATCATTATGATGGTAAAAGCCACATTGCCCCCAAATGAAAAGGCCAGCTTTCTTTTGTGTCCATCAAATCATTACTATTTCTGGTTCTGCTCATGCCAGCTGACAAAGTAATGTTCCTTTTGTGTAATTCATTAAATCAAGCAGCATTAGTGATTTTCTCAACAGAAGGAAGGACTAATGTCCTGAAAGTGGCTGCAGCTGTAGCAGGAAGCTAAAAATGCACTGAGACCATTGTTTCTGAGTGTTGAGACCATTGCTTGTTCTTAAATTTTTAGCTTTCTTGCATTTTCTGGCTTCTGCTGTTTAGCATACTCCCAGCAGCAGCCAGGGGCAGTTCAGGAAAGGGTTGTTCTCAATAATTTAATAATGTGGAAATAGCTGTTTGCATTCCCATCAGCCTCAACACAGGAGGAGCTTCCTGAACACATTTAACTCACCCCTGAATAGCTAGTTATGACATCCTTGTAGAAAATTAGAGGCCGAATACACAGTGTTTTGGTGTCTAAGTCAAAAGTATAACAATAACACTAGTTTTGGGACCTTTGAAGCCTGTTGAAAGTTTTGTAGCAGCGTGTGTCTGTGCATACAAAGAGTCAGTGTATGTCTGTACTGGGTGATATTCCTGCATAGGGATCTGGATGCTTTCTTGACTATAGAAAGATATTCCTGCTTGTCTACAAGTAGTAAAGCCCTAATACCAGTGAATGGGAAGCTTAAAAAGCACTTCTTAAAAATCTCTCAATTTGGAAACAACTTACACAAGTTGAGTGTATCCAGTGTGGTTTGACTAATGCTTTAGGCCCTCTAGTCACAGCTCTTAAAACTCTGTGATTGTTTGTGAGCCATATCATCAAGGAGCTTCTGATCTCAGTAGGTCCTGCCCTGCAGCTGCACAACCTCCTGGTGCACCTTACAATTTCCCTTTCTGGGGGAAAATATGTCAGTGCATCCTACGCTGCTCTACCTGTGTTTGGGGTCAGCTTGTACATCCCAAGCCACCTCAAGATGACAACCCATCTATATGTTTATAGTCTCTTATTATCTCATAACTGTCTAAAAACTCCTCTTTTCATGTTGATTGGAGCTGTTCTTTTGCTGTGTACCTTCAGATTTAGATCCATGCACTTCTTCTAAATTTAGGCTGTAAAAGAATCACCTTTACTTCTTTTATACTTGAATGGAAATAGTTCAAAGCTGTGCTGATGTAATAAAAACAGGAGGCTGGAAGGCAATGAACTGGAATAAGGATGAATGTATGAGAGAACACAAGCAGAGAGTGGCAACTTTAGATCCTCCCTGCCATGATCACACAATTATTTTTAATATGATGTACTTAACAGCTGCATTTCTCTTAAAGAAGGTTTCAATTTGTTATTCATCATATGATGTCATTTGATAAAAAAACTTTTGTTATGATAACATCAGGTATTCGAGCCATAATGTCATGAGAGGCAGTTCAGCCAGTCTGGACAGATCTGAGATTATTAATTTTACAACACTGATCTGTACTTACCAACGAAATTGCTGATTCACAGCCTTTCTCCTTTTTTTTTCTGTGGCTAATAGCCTTAATGATCAATCAGAGGTGGTGAGCTGAGGCAGAGCTCAAGGCCATCAGCTCCTTTCAGCCCTCTACATAGTTCCCAGGAAACACCCTGTGTTTCATTACTTCTTTCTTAGTTTATGATGTAATATTTTGCTTGAAGGCATTGAACTATCATCAAAAGCAGCCGACTGATTAGTGTGACTTCTTTTTCCAGGGTCGTTGTACAAGGGAGAACTGCAAGTACCTTCATCCACCAACACATTTAAAAACTCAGCTGGAAATCAATGGCCGGAACAACTTAATCCAGCAAAAAACTGCAGCAGCAATGCTCGCCCAGCAAATGCAGTTCATGTTTCCAGGGACACCTCTACAGCCAGTGGTAAGTATATTTATCTGGTGGTCTTAATGGTAAGTAAAGTTGAAGACTCCATTGACCTGCAAAAGTTGTCTAAATAGTATCAATAAAAATAGTCCCTGTCTGTTTACTTAAGGAATGGTTAAGATGCTGGACATATGCTCATTTATATTTGCATATCAAGATTTAATGGAGTGTTGCTGTAGACTTTATGTATTTTTCTTTAATGCCATAATAATTTGCTTTTTTTTCCCCTCTTTTTTTGCCCCCTTAATGCATTTCATGTCATGTTTGTAAGATTTTTACCTATAATCCTTCTGGAGGTGGAAATTTGTGTAATAACAATAATTTGCTAGTAAGTGATTTGAGTAGGAACACAAAGTTTCTCAGGAGTCTATGGGTCTGAATGGCTTTAAAAATTATTTATTCTCAGTACCAGGAACAAACGTTAATGATTATTGTTTTCATAGTCTGTTGAAGTCTGAAGTATGTGAGGTCAAGACAGAGAATTGGTGGTGCACGCACTTCACAAAGTCAGTGTTTTGTCTCGAGGTGATTCACACGGTGCCTGAGATACTTCATATCCAGGAGGTGATAGCGAACTAGAGTCTGGCATGCATGAGTAGCATCTTTGGATATGCACTAAAGTGATCAGTTGCTCTGGGCAGGCCTTGCAGGTGGGCTTCTCCGTGTAGCAGGTTTGGCAAGTAATCCGAGTTAAACTTTTCACACATGGCTGCTAATGATGTTTTTTCAATCTAAATTCCTAGTGTAAGGCATCCCACTAGAGTGGGATTTTTTTGTCTAACTTGAGGCATCTGGAGTGTTGGCATCAACTTCTGCAGTGAGTTTCCAAGGTCCATTTATAGTTTATCAAAAGACATAGGCACTGCTAATTACTATTTGCTTGGCTTGTTCCAGACATCAGCATTTGGATTAGATGATTTAGTTTTCAAAGTGCCTTTGTCTTTGCATGGGCTACCACAGAAGTCAAGGGTAGGTATCTCAGAAGAAGACATATGCATTTGCTTGCAGGAAGCTCACCCCAGATGCCTTTTTCAGTAATGCCTTTTTAGACTCAATACATGTACTGTCAGTTGGGATTGGGCTTTGAGTGTCGGGATTCCCTGAATTTCTGGTACATGTTCATCAGATTGTATCTGATCATTTTGGCCTCTTAATGTGTCTTGATATTTCCTGGGGATTTACTGCTTGAGTTTTTACCAGAAAAAGTTGTGATGAAGTAATAGATTCCACTGCTTAATATTATGAGAAGAATTCAAGTGGCAAAATTATGCTTTTTTTTCTTCTCATCCATTTCATCATTTGAACTTTACAATTTCATTGACGTAATGTCTTCTGTACTGATTGCTGTGATAAAAATGCCAGGTCTGTCTCACATAAATTGCCATATTAAGATGACTCAGCCTTGACCAAATGGATAAAAAGTGAAAGAAAATTTCATAGAAGTCATTTGATGAGTGGATTTATTTTTTAAATTATATCTGGCACAAAGCTGTTATTTATACTTCACATAACACGTACTGTTTTCAACATAGTCAAACCATTGTTTCATATAAATGTTCATTATTATGCTCTTCAGAATTTAGCTTGTTTGACACATAAACTAGGTTGCTTGATATCAAGCAGATTTGATCACTGATTAGAACATAGCATAATATATTTTTAACTCTTAAGAGCAGTTAGATGGCATTTCTGTATAGTTGGTTATCCTGGCTAATCTGTATACTCAGAGCATCTTATTGGTACTAAATCACATCTATTTATAATTTAGTAATTGGTTCCAAAGACAAAAAAATCCCAAGAAAACTAAACACAAACAAAAAAGAAAAAAGCTGCCTTCTAGGTGCTGTGTTTTCTTTTGTGTATTTTCTATGTACTTTGTGTCATGCAGGCCACTTTAGCAAGAAAGACTCTTCTCCTTTGTTAAAGTGTTTTGAAGTCTTAGTGTTGTGCTGTTGTGTTTCTAGCTGCTGGCTTATTTGGAAACCTAATTTCTGACAAAGCTAATCAGAGATGTGTCCTGTTTTTCCTCATTTATAATTATAGCTTCACTCTCTGGAGTACTCAGCACTGCAGAACTAAAGCACTTTCCAGGTCTGAGCATGAGCTGACCATGGTGATGTTCTGCCTCCACCCCTTGTGGAGCTAGTGTTAACAAACCCACTATTCTGCTTCATCATGGCTGTTGTAGCATCACACAAATGCTCTTTCTTCTGGTCATGACTTCACTGACTCACTGTAGGAAGGAACAAAACAAGATTTTTAGACCCATATCATTTCCTCCAATCAAAGTTTTTCATATTATGACTTAATATAAGCTTTATTAATCCCTTTCTAAATATTGTGTCCAGCTGAGATTATAATATTTATTCTGCTTGCCATTGGTGACAGCTGAGCACACAAACGTTTGCAGAGTTGAGTTTTTTCAGTGTGTGAGATACAGTAACATAATTGCAGGAGGTGGCAAAATACAGTATGCAAACATACTGGAAGTTACATGCCAAAGAGCTCATTATAAGAACTCTTATTAGAAATATGGCTTTAATATAGTGAATAACGCTTCAGCTATGAAATCTGAATACTTTGAAAAACAGCCTGTTTTACCAAGGAAAACAAGAATTGAGAAAAAGCAATAAAGTCTATGTTATTTCTACATTTAGGTGCGTAAATAAGCCTGCAGTGTAAGCTGGACCTCCGCACAGATTCAGGTTCAAAGTAGGACTTCCTTTGCATCTGCAGACTCTTTTCCAATAATAGAGTTACAAAGGTGGTTCTTCATGTACTGCTGGAATGCGTTACGTGATTAAAAGAAGAGAGGATGTTGTGTATTTTGCCAGCTGTTTAAAGTTTTTCTTTAAGAAAATGAATGAGTGCCAGAAAGAACAGCAAGCAAAGGACAACTAGTAAGATATTGATTAAGTGGCTTTTAATTTCATCTTGGTGTGTGTTTTCCTTTTTCAGCCCACATTTCCGGTGGGTCCCACAATAGGAACGAACACGGCTATTAGCTTTGCTCCTTACCTAACGCCAGTAACACCAGGAGTTGGCTTAGTCCCGACTGAGATCCTACCCACGCCGCCTGTCATTGTTCCTGGAAGTCCACCGGTTTCAGTCCCCAGTTCAACTGCTACCCAGAAACTCCTCAGGACTGATAAACTGGAGGTACTTTAGACACCACTGGGACTAGAAACACTTTCTCTGTTAGGCTGTGTGAGAGATCTTGGAGGGTATAACTGTTGTTTTAGAAGAAAAGCTTACATTTTGTTGCTACAGATAGAAAACTTGTAACCAGGCAGGATTTCTGCAATGCAGCCAGTGGTAATTGAATACTGTTATTTTTAAGGTAGTGTTTTTGCTTATATTTAATACACAGACATCAACGTGAGTTTTCTTTTTTTGTAAAGTTCATAATCTCAAAAAACTTCAACCCATGCCTGTAAAGGCATCCCTTGATGAAATATCTAACAACCACATTTTTTTATTTCAGTAATAATTTTCCTGGTTTTTCTGCACTGATAATAAGGGAATTTTATAGCTTTATGGATTGATATTAGGGGAATGGTGTAGCCCTTCAGCCTGAGCTGCCAATGGGGATGTGGAATATTACCAACCCAGCAGCAGGCTGAAGGGCCAAGCCCCCAGCTATGTGCAGAGCCTCCCAGCTGTTGCTGGATCACTGCGTGGCTGGACTCAGTGGAATCTGTGATCTGAGTACACAGGGAGGCCAAATGACTCTAGCAGAAATGAATGTCCTTTCCCAAAAGCCTAAGCACCAGTGTCTAGAGCACATTTCTTCTTAGGAAAGTCAGTGTGTTCATTTTGCCCATTTTTTAAAATTATTTTGTTTGTAGCCTCCATAAAAATGCAGTGCATCTGATGTGAATTTTCCCTGGGTTTCAGCAAGAGGAACTCCTTCCCTACCAGTCCACCTGCAAGAATACAAAGTGTAGTCAGAAAGAGACAAAATATTTTGTGATTCCCAGCTAGTTTTGCAGGAGCAGTTACGTAAGTAAGTATCTTTCCCAGCTGCTTTTTAGACAGGAAAAAAGAAAGGCATTTGAGAATGCTTCTGTTATTTAGCCACAGTACTAGAGAGCTACCTGAGGAGCCAAGAACATAAGGATGAAATAGGTGCACTCGCCTCACCCACCAAAAGCTTTATTGAATTGAAGTTGCTGTAAAACTTGAACTAAGGGGGGAAGGGGGCAGGTCTGTCTTTTGGGGACATGGGACACTCCCTGCCCTTTCACGCTGCACCGAGCTGTGCCCCTGCAACGTGTGTTGTTTTGCACGTAGGTGTGCAGGGAGTTCCAGCGGGGGAACTGTGCGCGTGGAGAGACTGATTGCCGCTTTGCGCATCCGGCAGACAGCACAATGATTGACACAAATGACAACACCGTAACCGTGTGTATGGATTACATAAAAGGTCGTTGCATGAGGGAGAAATGCAAGTATTTTCACCCTCCTGCACATTTGCAGGCCAAAATCAAAGCGGCGCAACACCAAGCCAACCAGGCTGCAGTGGCAGCCCAGGCAGCTGCGGCAGCTGCGACTGTGATGGTAAGTGCAGGCATGTATGGCTGCCTTTTTTTTGATGCCTATTTTGCTTCAATTTAATGCTGTTTGCTTATACTTTCTTTTCTCTTTTGCCTCTTTCTTTTTTTTTTTTTTNTTTTTTTTTTTTTTAATTTATCCTTTTTTTATTTTGGTGAAAGATAAGAATTTGTAAAATTATTACTATTGCTTGATGGGAGAAAGCACTTTCCTTTCTTTATGCCCTTGTTTTAATGCTGGTTTTCTATTCAAGACAGTGAAGCAAATGACACTCTATACCACTTCTGTTCTCTGCCTTAATTATATGTAAATTTGCCTCTAGTATTTCCAAACAGAAACAAAACTGATAAGCTTCAGTGTTCCCAGGAAAACAGGGACACATATGCTGTTTTAGCTCTTTGATGGCAGAAATTTGTGGAAATTTGGAAGTAAAGCAAAGAGAGAGCGTTTGCTTCAGAGATCAGTAGTAGAATAGAAACCTCTACTGAGATCAGCACAGTCTGCCTTCGAAACAAGACAACCAGCCAGCCACCTTGGTCTCACTGTACTGGTAGTGTATTAAAACCAGGACACTCATCTGATGTACCATTAGTGCCTGCCTGAGGATGAGAAAGAACTGCCCTCTGTAGATCTACAACTATCCCCAGTGACTAAAAAGTGTTGCCTGTGTGTTTTTGAACTTTGGTTGATGCATTTAGTGCCTAGAGACTTCTTGCCTCTCACACTATTATGGGGCAGTTACTTGAATTTTGAGGTTTTAATGTAGTAAACTGTAATGGGAATCATTAGCAAATAAATATTGTGGTTACAGTCAGAAGAAAAGAGAGTGAGGCTTTTATTTTCAGATACTTTAACCTCTTACTTAAAACTGTTTAGACAAGACAGCCCACCCCTTCACCAGGACTGGATTCCTCTTACAGTTGCTACCAGGAAAGTTGATGAATTTGCAGTGATATTGATAAAGTTAAATAAATTGAACATGCAGGATCTGACTTGAGAGACAAAACTGCTGGCAGCAAATCAAAGAATCATTGTCCTCATTGCTGGCAGTGGACGAATAATTAAGCAGATGTGGTTTGTGGACTTGTGGGCAGTGCATACAATAGTTATAGACAGTACAGTTATTCTCTGGTTTAAAGGCCTACAAGAAACACAATACAGTACAGTACATAACTACCCCAAGCTATTGTATTTAACAAATTAGAATAAGACCAGACTTTTTTGAGGGACAAAGGGTAAGTTATGCAAGAAAGTAAACCATTATACAGAAGAATATTTCTTAAGTTTCAATATTCTTTACCCAGTAGTATCACAGCCTTTGTTTCAAATTGGATGATTTTTAGTTAAAGTTTCCTGTTCTTGCAGAAATTGAATACCATCTGGAAATTAAAGCAGAGAAGATTGGGGTTTTATTCTGATTAGCTTCTGTTGTGCAATATTTATTGTTCATTTAGAGATTTTAATATTTCTAGGCACTAAACTAAATAAGAAAGGCAAAAGATGAGGGCATTAATTTTTTTTGCACTTCGGCAATGGTTGCAGATACGTATCCTGTGGTTTTAAATAAGGCTTAATTAGAGTTGCATTAGCCTCAAAGCAAGATGAAGCATCTTTGGAAACACAGAATTGAAATGTTATCAGTTTAATGTCACAGGAGAAGGCAGCAGGGACCTGTAATTCAGGGTAACATTTTGCAGATAAATATGTACAAAATATTCCAGCCCATTTCCCCTGCTTAAGCAGGGGAGCTAGAAGAGATTGACAGGATGTGCCTGTTTGGTTTACTAATGTCTCTAAGGATGGAAACTCCATAACTTGAAAACCTGCTCCATACTTCCAGTTAAAAAAAAAAAAAAAGCTTTCTTTTTTTTTAATCTTACATTTAAATGTAATTCCTTTTATTTAAATTTGTTTCCATTGCTTCTTCTCCTGTCCCTTGGCACCACTGGCTTCATCTTTACCCTGAAATCAAATATTTGTATACACTGATGGATTCCCCTGTATCTTCTCCAGGCTGAATCCAATCCCTTGATCATTTTTCAGGTCCTTTATGGAAGTGTTTAGTACACCTGTGTACTGGGATCCCAGACCTGGACAGAGTGCTCCATATGTGGCTTCACAGGGCTGAGTAGAGGGGAAGAATCACCTCCCTCTACCTGTTGGTGATACTCTTCCCAGTGTAGCCCAGCATGCCATTAGCTGCCTGTGCTTATGAGGGCGCATTGCTGGCTTGGTGTCCACCAGGATCTTGAGGGTCTTTTCTGCCAAGCCTTTGTGGCCCCCAGCATGTACTGCTGCCTCGTTCCTCCCCAGGTGCAGGTCTTGATATTTGTTTTTGCTGGACTTTGTGAAGTTTCTCTGTGCCCATTTCTCTAGACTTTCTATGTCCTCTGAGCAGTAGCATGTCTATCTTGTATATCAACCATTCCTCCAAGTTTCACACCACTGGTGACTGGCCTCCAGCTGGGCTCTGTGTTGCTGGTCACATCCCTTTGAGTCTGGCATGTGAGACAATTGTCAGTCCACCTCCCTGTTTCCCATTTAGCCCAGGATAAATAACTCTGTCTGTGAGGATGAAATAGTGTTGAAATCCTTTCTGAAATCAAGAGAAACAACATCCATTGCTCTCCCTTCACCACCTTACCAGCCTCATCATAGAAGGATGTCAGGCTGGTTAAGCACAATTTCCCTGTCATAAATCTATGCTGACTACTTCCCATCACTGTCTTGGCTTTCATGTGTTTGCAGATAGTTTTCAGGAGGATTTGCTCAATTGCTTTCCCAGGGACTGAGGTGAGGCTGACCAACCTGCCAGTCCTCAGACCTCCCTTCCTGCCCTTTTTGAAGATAGGAGTGTAATTTACTTTCTTGCAGTCTTTGGGAATTTCCCTCAGTCACAGGCACCTTTCAAAGATAAGTAAGAGTAACCTTGCAGTGACATTGGCCACCTCCTCCAGCACCCAGGGTGCATTCTGTTAGTTCCTATGGGTGCATACAGCTTGTTTAAATGTTCCCTAACCTGATCATCCTCCCCCAGAGGAAAGTCTTTTTCACTTCAGACTTCCCTACTGGTCTCCCACTGGCCTGAAGGCCAGTCCTGCCAGTAAAGACTGAGGTGGAAAGGATTTTCTGAACCTTCAGCCTTCTCCATGTTCTGTGTCACCAGGTTGCCTGCCCCATTCAGCAGTGGAAACACATTTTCTCTAGTCTTCCTTTTGTTGCTGAGAAGCCCTTCTGATTGTCTTTCACATCCCTTGCCAGATTCAACTCCAGGTGATCTTTGACTCTCCTAACATATCCCTGCATGTTCACGCTGTATCCCTGTTCCTCCTGAGCAATCTGTCCCTGCTCCCACCTCTTGTGGGCTTTCCTTCTTTCATTTGAGTTTAGTCAGGAGCTTCTTGCACATTCATGGAGGCCACTGCTGTGTGGATCTTGTTTTATTCCAGGAGACATTAAAGCATACCGATGTGCCATATGGCAGGCAAATACTATGCCTTGGATGTTTGATCATTTGATTTTTTAATATTATCTTTATTTCCTTTTTGTATCCTCTTTCTCTCCATCCTGTAGCTATTGATTCATTGGTTGTTAGTTATGCAGATCAAATGTTGAGAAGGAGATAATCTGATGGAACAGAAAGAGGTAAAGAAGCTTTTACTATCAGGATGAAATAAAAGAAAATATTAATATAGAAGAGCAAAATGAGCAGTTTGAAAGCCTGAAAAGGAGACTACATAGAAGCAAATTTGATGAGTATGTTTAGAGCAAGTCAAATCTTCAGGTTAGGAAGACTAAGACTGAACTTTCTGGGGACTATGAGGGGAAAGCCAGAAGAAAGCTTCAAAGTAGGGAGGTGTTATTAAGAAGAGCATGGAGAAAAACTGGAGAAAGGCAATTATAAACAGAGACGTTAACAAGTTAGATTAGATAAGATCTGTATTTGGATAATAAAGGTAATTAACTGAAACACTTTACTCTTAGTGATGTTGATTTGAACTTATGGACTTCATGGCAGAATGCTGAATTCAGTTGTGCTGCATCACCTCTGTGTAGACTTCCCTCTGTGGTGGAGGCAGAGCAGCTCTGAGGCTGTGCCCCAGGCAGTGGAGCGATGTCCTTGGCAGTGGTACCTGCACAGTGTCCTGTTTGGACAGAAGTCTGTCCAGATCCCCACTTCAGACTAGGTGTTTCTTGTTGTGTCTGGGTCTTGGGCCCAGAGAGATGAGCAGATCCTGTAGATCAGGTTTGCAATCCAGAAAGGTGCTAAAGAAGAGACAAGGAGGGTGTTGAGAAGACTCATGCTACAGAGACAGGTACAAGGAGTAAGTAAAATGCAGAATACCCTGTTGGCACCTGATCAACTTATGAACACAAGGTGTTTGCAGGCATTTGAAGCCTTGTTGTCTTCCTCCACTTCAACTTTTATTCCCTATTTCCACATACTGATTTCAAACATCATCTGCATATTCTAAAAAGAGCTAAATATCAGCCTGTGTTTAAAAAACAAAAGTAAACATTTCAATTTCCAAGCAAATTTTTCTTTCCTTTCTAAAGGTTTGTAAGAATTACTTACCCTATAAAACTTGAAAGTAATATTTTATATGAGCATTTTTTTTACAGAATGCGGTCATATCAGCCATAAGTTTGAATTTACTATGAAAGAATACATAAATGTATATGCCTGTGTACTATGCCTAAATACTTTCTTTTGTCAAATTAATAATGCTGGGCTAGTATCATAACTCACATGTTAATGTTGGCTTATGAACTGGGAGCCCAATTTTACTCCCTGTGCCTGAAGGTTATAGTAAAATTTAGAAAGTATGTTTTCAGTTCTGAAAGACTTTTTTCCTTCTCAATGTAATGTGGTAAGTTACAAGATTAAAAAATCTAGAAAAATGCCCCAGCTGTAGAAGAAAAGAAAAGGAATTAATGATAAGTTAGTGTAACTGGACATACTACTGTGTTTTGTATTGGCAAAGGAGAACTTCATTTTGACCATTGAATGATTCACTTCTCTAAATTAAAAGACACTCACCTTGTAAGCACTGATATTAATAGCATTTGTAATGCTTTACAACTTTCACTAGTGATTTGTATTTGAAAATGTAACCACCAAAATCAATTTTCCCACTTCAAAATGTGACCGAACTGACTTATCAGAAATTCCAATAGGTGTATCCTTAAAACTTTCTGCATCTCTGTGAAGTGTTTATATGATGCTTAATAGTGTCTGCAAGCTGCTGTTTTACTCAACTTTCCTGAATTTCAAACATCTATATTTTACTCTCTTATTATGCTTTTAACTAAGGTATAGTAGATGCATTTTTGCTTCGGTACTAATTCAAGATGTAATATTCATTTCTTTAGAAGACATTTTTGTTGTTGTGCATGCCTAGTGTTTTGTATGTTGTATATTGCATTCAGAATATTTTTTTCCTTCTCACCTATCCACAAATGCAATGCCGTTCCCATGACGCACCTCTGCTTGCTGTTTACCTGTATGTTAATTCGCTTGACTCCCATTGGCCCACTGCCATCATGTGCTCGCTGCCTGTTATTAAAAGACTCAGTCGACTGCCAAAGCAATGAAGCGACCTCTCGAAGCAACTGTAGACCTGGTACTTTGACCTTTCACCTTTTGCTTTGCATGTAGCTTTTTTTTTTTATTTTATTTGGTTTTATTATAATTTTTTTTTTTTCCTTCAGAGAAGCAACTAATGAAATTTGTATCGCTTTACTTTTCAAACATCAACCGGAAATTATTTCACATACTCATTAATTTACCGGAAGCTCTATTTATCCATCTCATTCTCATACGTAATAGACCGCAGACGATTTAGTTTGGTTCCTAACACAGTTTCATCTTTTTTAAATCTCTCATGAAAAGTCAAATTGAGATAAAACTGCTTTTGTAATTGAAAATGCGTAACGTAATCCATTAATCTGTATAATAATAGGAAACGATATTTAAATTTAAAAATAAAAGAAAATACTTGGCAATGAAACACAAGTGGTTTTTTCTCCCTGTAATATTTGAAAACCTACTTAAAGGCAATGCTATTTTCGTTGCTTTAAAGCAAACGTTTCTTTTCAGTAGTTGTGCTGCTACAGTTCTAGGTTAATAGTACCATGCTTTTGCTACCAATAACAAAATTTCACTCATTTTACATTGCTGTGCTTTGAGTTAATATGCATGGCGAGGCATCTTTAGCTGCTTTTAAAAATACTAAGTTTTTGTATTTATGTATATGTTACGGACAAGGTCTTAAAAATTGAGCCATTTTAACTAACTTTCTTATTTACAGGCCTTTCCTCCTGGTGTTCTTCACCCTTTACCAAAGAGACAAGCACTTGAAAAAAGCAATGGTGCCAGTGCCGTTTTCAATCCCAGTGTCTTGCACTATCAACAGGCTCTTGCCAATGCTCAGTTGCAGCAACATGCAGCGTTTATCCCAACAGGTATGTTGTATCCACATTGAACCAGTTTAGTGTCCCTGAGGTAGCCTGTGTGTCAGGCAGTTGCACTTAACAGAAGGTTTTATTGTGCTCCCTTCCCCACTTGAGGTGAAGCCTGCACAGATGATTGCACATTGTTTTAATTCCTCTTTCAAAGGACAAGAATTCAATCAGAAACTTCAATATGCCGTTAAGCTGCTGTTTTGCACATTCATAGCTTTGCTTATCATTCTCCAGAGTTTGCCCCTTTTTGCCTGCTGTAAATTGGCTGGATTTTGACTCGTATCTGTTTCCACTAACAAAAATGCTGGGGAAAGCATCATGCTTCAGAGATGCCACAGCATCCTCCTGCTCCCTCAGCTGCTGTTTTGCAGCTGTGGGGATTTCCCCAGCCCCACACGAGCACCCTGAGAAAGGGAACACCAGCCATAAACTTCCAGTCAATACCTGCGTGGAAGCACTGGCAAAACACATTGCTCCCCGCAGCTGCACTTAAGGGTTTTCAGGCATCAGATGCATTTTCGTGGTTTTGGAGCACCACCAGAACTTTTCCTAGCATTTGTGGCTCATAGCTGGGGTTATAATTCTTCATAGGGATGATCTGAAGATGAGTGAATGTAATTTACATTTCAGTGCTCAGAGCTCTGTGAAAATCAGAGTGTTCAGAGATGGCTTGACTTGCCCCCTGGCTGGTAGCAGGGTGAGAGAAGGGATGTGCTGGGTGCTCGTGCAAGCAGTAACAACACAACCCTCTAAATTGTGTCAGTCACCCCCACTCCAACTTCCCAATGGAGAATTCCCCTCCTAAGGAATTCTGTGATTTCATTTGTAATTGACAAATTATGTATTTTAGTGTCAGGGTGTTCTTGAACTTCAGAATAGTTTAAAACTACATGTTTGCAAATGTGCTTGACATTTCAGCAATGTTATTTTAGTTTATAGAAATAATGCCAGTTAAACAAGGAATGAAAGGCAACACACAGCGATTTCCCAATCTATCAGCATTCCCATATGTTTTTAAAGATAAAAAACAAACACAGATGGCTTTGACTTCATGGAATTTTTCTATAAGGCCTCAGTAACAACCTTGGAGCCTGCCCCCGTATTTGTAATAGTAAGTAATAGCATAGCCTTATTTTTAGCACATTGGTGCACCAGAATAGGTGTGGCGGAAAACACACTGACATTTATGGGAGTGTTTGAAAAAAAATAAATAACTGCTGAGACCGCCTATTTGGACATGAATGGAAGACTGCCCTGTGCTTACAGAACATATAGAAATTTCCACAAATTTATTTCACATTGAAACTATGAGAATTTGTAGCATGATAGGTATTTTTCCTTCTTAAGCACTCCCTTTCAGGGCTTATTGCTCTTATTTGCAATTGACAAGGACTTCAAATTAACTATGGAAAATACAGTAGTTTAGACCTTTTTCAGTGAGAAAGTATTTGGCTACTTTCCAGGCTTTTGGAAAGCTCATGCTTCCTTAAGTAACTCACTTTTTGTATTTTTTATTGTCAATCCCTCTTTCCAGCTAATTGCTGTAATTCTAGTTTTAACTGAAAAATTTCTGGTTGTAGGAAGGGTGGATCTTGGAACCAAACCTTAAGGGCCAGGTTGTTGTCAAATCCCAACACAAGTGCATGAAAAGAAGGAGAAACACAGGTATAAAATACCAGATGGAGCCCAAGTCCCAGAGTAGAAAACCTTTCTTAAAGTAATGAACCTCCTGCTCTTTTCAAACACCATCAGCTCCAAGGAAGGATATTAAAGAGAGGAGTTGGGGTATGGGAGTAGTTCAGGAAAGGAGAACGCCCTCTATGAGAATGGTTGTCATGAGCTTTCCATTAAAGATGATACATCTGATATTCCCACATTTCCTGGGAAGGTTGGATTTGGTGGGTGTAAGGACTGTCATGCAACCCACATCTGAGGAGCAATGCATGACATTATCTGTTGGATTTTAAATGATTGTGTGGTATTTTCTAAACTGGTAAAATTTTCAAATGTGTTCCTTGTGTGTGTGTGCGTGTGTGTTAAATTTTAAGACAAGTTTTGCTGCTGGAATATATATAAAACTTAATTGTTTTATATAACTTCTCTGCTTTATTAACCACTGGCTCCCCTAATAAAAAGTGTGGGGCTTGACTTAGCATGGCTTACCTCCAAAGTTCTGCACTTTGTTTTACATCAGTTTGATTGCTTTGTCACCTTCTCCTTATTGTTCAGTGAATGTTCTTAAAAACAGCAGATCTTTTCTCTCTTCCCATTGCTGTTTGTTAGTGTTTCTATAGCCTCTAGAGGAGGAACTTTGTGTATTCTCTGGGGACTGTTCTTGAGTAAGGTCATTCATAGTCACATAAGTCCTGCAATGGTCCCATGGGGCTGCAGTAGTAATTCAGCAGGAATACAGGAAGCATATTTGACTCTGTGTCAAATATGCACGTACCTTGCACTAGTCTCCTTACCTGCTTGCCTTCACCAGCTTGCTGTATGCACTGTACTGGAAATAGGCTGATCTCTTTCTTTCATTTTGCCTTTCCAGAAAGGTTAAAGGTGGGCTAGGCACCAAAGGTAAACTGCACAGCAGGTGAGCAGTCATCCCACAGCATCTCTGGGGTGTGCTGGGAGCCTTCTGCTGGAATGTCTCACACTTTAAGGTGTTTAGCTTGGGACTTGTCAAAGTACTTTGTGTTAAGAATGGCTACGTTAACATCAAATAGAAATTTGGCAAAGCCCCTGCAGTAGAATATTGTCTTAATTCCACTTTCTGTTTCTGCCACATGTCAAAAAACTTTTGAATGTTGATCTGTGCAACATTGAGCTGTCTGAATTATGCAATCAGTTCTAAAAGTCCCAAATACTGTTGTTTTTAACCACAAATGTTTTTATTAAAAAAAACTTTGTTGCTGCAAAAGCACTAAGTGAAAGGATAACATTAATAAGTAAAAAAGTTTATGAAGTATCTTGAATATATACAGAAACATGCCAAAACCCACACAGTATATACAGGAGTTTAGTAAGAACACAATCACCTCTTTGTGTTTAAGCAAAACTGTGAATGACCTTACAGTTTCATTTAACTAACTTACTTCTCTGTGGTTATGCTTGAATCTCACTTTGAATGTTAACTCTAAACAGCTAACCTGTTTCTTCCCTTTATCCACTTTTTTCACCTATCATTGCATGACATGCAGGGTCAGTTTTGTGCATGACACCCGCTACCAGTATTGGTAGGTTCCAAATTTCTTTATTGATCTCTTTTTTTATACTGTATATGATGTATATTCACTTGCTTCAAAAATTCTAGGCAAGATTTAGCCACTGACTAGAACTAAAGGTTCGCTTGTCCTTCTGGTTGATTTTGCAGAGTGTTTAGATTTGTAGATGAAAGCTGCAGTTTAGACATGGTATCACCTGCTATAAAAACTACACTGCAAAAGCATAATACCATGAATTCCAGTCTGCTTTTCAGTTTTCAAAGTTATTTTATATTGCCTAGTACTATAAAATCATAAAATACTGGAAAAAAACAGCGAATTTCATCAGTGTTTTAAAGTTTCATAGTGGTGTGCCTATTTCTCCTTTGCTGTGTGTTAGAAAGTTTTATCAGCGTTTCCCAGAAATGCCTACTTTGATCCACAGAGGTTCTGTTGAAACTCGTGATCTGAATCTCACTCCTTTTTTAAAGGAGCTTGAAGTTAACATTTTGGGCATGCAAAGTGGATAGTCCAATGCAACAGCCTCTGAGACAGAAAAGTATTTTTCTATTGCCCTGTCCAGTGATTTTATTTCTGGGTTTTGGGCCTACTCACATAAACAGTTAAAATATCAAGCCTTTAAACATCAAATTAATAATTCCTCCATGAAGATGCTGACTAAAATTCATTCTTAAAATGAGCAAAAGCAGTGTCTTTCACAAAATCGATCTTGCTTTTTTAGGTCAAACAAAGTAGTATATATCAGGATAATTATTATCATCCCTCTCCTGATTTTTCCCTCAAGCAGATGGTAATTTAACTCTGATAAAGTCAAATAGTTATGCAGTACTAGTAGGAAAAAACGCATTAATTGGATTATAAAGAAAGACAGCGAGTACCTATCTTACTTCAAAATGAACATACATGAAAATCATTAATTTTTAATTGAATTTAAAAATTAAGATGAACATTTAACAATTTTCTTCCCAGTACACACCACTGGAGTTTTTTTAGTAGGATTTTATTTTGAAGTGCATTATAGCTGTACTGGGGGAAAACAAATTGCATATGTAACAATCCGCAGGTAATGGGCTATTTTGGTAAAGGCCTCGTTTGCACAACTAATCTTCATCTTAGAGACAGCACTTGCATTTTCAGTGGTTCTTACTCTTTTTTTCTGGGAATCGCCGATTGTGTTGACAACCTTCCTTTAATTGTACTTGTAATAAGCTATTTTCCCTTTTTTTTTATTTCTCCGCCACGCTTTCTCGCTTTGCACTGTGATTGCATGCCATCTGCCGGTTTAACCCATGACGATGGCTTGCCGCTCTTGATATTCACCATGCCAAAAATACCACTTCTCTTACCATAATGCTGCACCCTCCTGTTCATTGCTTCCATGGTTCCCCTCCTGAAAGTACCCATGATGCACAACGCTACGGCCGCCACTGTCTCTGCAGCAACAACTCCTGCAACAAGTGTTCCCTTCGCCGCAACAGCCACAGCAAATCAGGTTTGCTCCTTTTAAAGCTTTCTTTCACAAGATCCTGAACTCTAAATGAGTGCTGAGATTTTTATTTTATTTTTTTTAACAAAAAAAATTCTCACAGAGAATTTTTTTTTTTATTTCTGTGTTTACCCCATCAAATTTTACTTTTATTTTTAAGTCGTTTATAGCAAGTGTTTGTGGGACAGGTTGCACTTATTTAGAGTTAACATTTGTTGCAAATAATGATGTAGCTGTGTTTTGTGTTGCGATGTTTGTACCTAATTATTGTGTAATTAACCCAGCTGGAGTTAGAATCACCACAGCACTCGACTACTTACAAAAGTCTATTATTAACTCCTAAGTTAAAAGGAAGATCCTTGCAGGTTTAAACATTTGGGTGTGTTAATGTAGCCTTCTCCATGAGGTGTGGAAGTGACTAATTTGTAAGCATGGAAGCTGTCAAAAAATCACAAGCAGGACAAGGCAGCTGGAAAAAAAATTGAATGTTTTCTGTAAATACGAGTGGTTGAAACAGCAGTCAAGATATTTATGGCTATGCCCGCTTTATATTTGAAAGTGTATCTTTAACCTTGGGAATTATATTTCCCTAAGGAGGCACATTGATAGAAAGCATCCTGAGGGTTATTATCTGAATAGGCTAGGAAGGATGATACTTTCTCCTCCTCTTCTGCAGTTTACATTAAGCAGTTTTCATTTTGGCTGGGTTTCCCCTCCTCCTGCAGGACCTAATTCCCAGGGAAGACATATCAATTGCAGCCTGGGGTGTGTAGCTCTGAATCGTCTGTTGGGATGGTTCCCACCCTGATGTGCCGAGAGATGAGTCTGCACAGCAGTTGGGTCACTCTGGCTTTTCTCTTGCTCTGGGACCATGCTCAGACACTTCCACCTGAGATGTGTTCCCTTCAAGTGCTGAGAGGTCAGATGGAAAAGCAAACAAGCAGATTTGCTCACCAGAAGAAACCAAAGGGCTATGTCACCATCATCTTTCCTTGTGTTGTTCCTGGACAGATGGACAAGCTGTTGCAGACCCAGGAGAAATGCTGTCCTATTGGTTCCTTCCCTTCCACTTGCCAAGGACTTAGAAAGAAATCTGCAAAAATGTTTTGCTTAATAATGTTATACTAACAGGTTTATTTTTTTTACTGGCATTCCCAAAACTATTGAGGTATCCCGTGGAAAAATAGAAGTTGCGTCAAGAGTTTATTTTTAATAATTTAGGAAAAATATACTACCTCTGAAATACATCCTACTTTCTTAAAGAAATACAAACCAGTCCATTTTCTTCGGGTTTTTTTAAGATTCATTTGCCAACATGATGATGTTTTTGCTTCTAGCATTTTCATCAAAAGAGGGTTATTGTTGTTTTGTGCTTACTTTTCTGTGAGCTAGGTTGTAAAAAACACCTGGGTCAAGAATGAAAGTGCAGCAGGCCAATGGTGTGTTACACAGTCCTTCCCAGAAGTGTCTACAGCAGAAAAATGTTTGCTGGTATCCATTGTAGTTTTGTGATCTCAAAGTGGCAACAGAGGGCTTTGAAGATGCTAAGGGATTAAGAGAAAATGGGATAGTTTGGGGAGAGGTTGAGCCAGGGACCCTCTCCAGCACAGAAATGTAGCTGGGGCAGGTCCACCACCTCCAATCCTGAGTGCTAGAGGGGCTGACTGTGGCTGAAGGTAGAATAAATACATGGATGCCTACAAAAGGACCAGTAAGCAGTATTTTTTTTTTTTATTAAAGTTAATGGGAACCCTTTCATGCAAGTAACTAGTGCCACTGAGAAGACAAAGGAGTACCTTAATGCTCTTCCTCATCTATCAGGAAGGAAGGCAGAGCCCCTTCTTTCCCAGTGCAGATTTTGTTTGCATTGGAGGCTTATAGCATTTTAAATTTAACAGGGATTGTAGAAGGTTTCTGTATTTATCTAGTTGCACATATGTATGTGTGTGTGTGTACATACAATTCCATGCTGAAATTAATGGATGGTTTAACAGGAGGATGGGTTTCACTTGTTTAACTTCAGCCATTTGTAAGTTTGGCATCTAGATCGTCTGCTTTTCTGGAGGTCTGTGTTAGGGTAGGGTAAATTGCCCTGGAGGGTCTTTCCTCTGTCCCTTGCCTGTAGATTGAATATAGGTGTGCTTTACCAAAGCTCTGCACCACTGCACATGTAGATGAGTCCCACCTCAGGAGCTTGTTTGCTTCTGTAGCATGTGCCATCACAGTCTTCTTTTTCCTCACTCCTGTCTTTGTTTTAGTCATTGTAAGTTTTTAAAAGTCACTGTTAAAAAACATGTACTTCAAAGTAGGGAAAGCAGTAGTAGTTCATTGTTCTTTATAAGAGACAAAACTCTTAAGTTTTCTGTTTATTTACTACATCCTAAGATTTGAGACAAAGCTACAATGCTAGGAAAGCCGTATGGTAACTCTATGGCTCAAATTCTCAGTATTTCTTTAACCCAAGAAACATAACAGGAGCAGGTTATTAACTTGGTGATTAGCATGACTTTGTTCATGGCCATAGCATTCTTTGTGTCCTCTTGTATGGGTTTAAACTCTCCTGAGTATTTCAGAAAAGGACTGTTTTATTCTCAACCAGATAAAATTTCCTTTTCTAGTCTGTGCCACACTGCTTTACATACCTGCGAGGTACAGTTTCCTCTTTCCAGTGTCTCTACCACAGTTTTTTTTTACAACCTCCAGCCTTCAGCTTGTCCCATTTTAGCTCCCACAGCTTCTCCTCACTATTGTGGGCATGAAAAGAAAGTTTTAGCAGGGCTTAATAATTTATTTTAATATCATTTGGTTTAGTATTCTGACCTGGGGAAAGATTGCGGGTCTTCCTGGGATTGAGTGTGATGATCCTAGTGTCTTTGAAGCACAAGTGGAAGGGAAAAGTCAACATCCCAAAAGTTATGGAATCTCAGTTGATGACTAATAAAATATAACTCTGTTGGGTCCAGTAAATTATTTAGTATGTGCTGTCAATTTCTCTTTTGAAAAAAAAAAAGTCACTATGTCTCATGTCTTCTGTATATCCTTTCTTTCAGAAAATAACATGAGTAAGAGTTCAAAATACACCTGCATTGGTACATGCTGTCAGTCCTGCTTGGCCAGCAGCTCTGGGCATTGTGTGTTCAATGTATGGCACAAGGCACATGGAAAGATTGTGTAGAATTAAAGGCTGTACTGTGTACATCTGTGCAGGGTGACACCAGTTAAGAACATATGGAAAATCTGGCATCCCTTGCTTTTCCTGATTTACAAAGTTTAGGTTTTTAAAATAATTTTCTCACAGTGTACTTCAGAAGGGAAGAGAATCGCTTTGGTGCAATGCAATGTAAACAGGATGCAGCAAATTGCCCCACTTACTGTAGCTGCCAGGCTGTGATGAGAGGGAATAGAGGGGAAGAGATTTCAGCTTTCTAGTGAAAGGTAGCTGGAAAGGTACACGTGCAGGAGCATGACTGATCAGAGGTAAAAGGCCCTTCCCCTTTTCTGCTCTTCACAATTGCTCCAGCCATTC